ATTAGACAAAACAGTAATCACAATAATAGAAACGGCAACATAACGCCGGCTAAATGGTTAACGTACGTCTCTTAAACATGGTACTAAGACCACAGGCGGAGAGGAACGCCTCATCCTTGAGTCGGTCTGGATGGGGTACCCAATTTCTTGGGCACTAGTATTTCCGAGCCATCGTCTACGGGTGCAGTTGTGGTTTAGAAAAACTCCGGCTCCATTATTTCAGCCAGGCCTTCTCAAGAACGTGTGGAAGGGCACACTTCTTCCCTAAGAGAGCCGGCTCCTTGTTGTACCGGCGGAGAAAGGGGTCGTGTCGCAGAGACGGGGAAGAGACTAAATAAAACTTGCTCTTCCAGTTGGTCCACTTGGACGGCTTGTCCAAAGTAATCATGTATTTTGGGAGTATGGTCAACGTATATCACGGATTCGGCTCATGTAATGCATATGAGCGAACGCCTCAAAGCTGGGCGTAAGATTTTGCATCTCGCAGGCGGCGATATAGCTCCGAATGTTCACCCATGAGTTGGGTGTGAGTTGCCATACACCTAACTCATAACCCTCAAGATGGCTCTAATTCCTTTGTGGAGGGGGAAGCGGAGGCCGGCTTTAAATGTCGCCTCATAGCAGCCGAAATAGTTGTCGGCATGGTCAATATCATCCTCCCAGACGACAGCCGTCTCTACAGGCGGCACAATTATTTCCCAACCTTTCCCCATTGGGCACCTATCCCTAAAAGCTTCGAAGCTAGCTTCCAGGGTAATTCTATCCTTGGCGGACATGTGTGTCTCAGTCGGGTTGGTCATAGACGACCCCTTCGATGACTCACCCTCCTGGCAGTCGACATCCGCTTGTAGGGAGCTTGATGCCTCAGAATCAGATCGTTGGACGACCTCTTCGCCGTCTTCCTGTTCAAATTCGTTTTGCGCACTAGGGGCAGAGACGGATCCCTCTCCGTCTGTCTCATTTAAAATCCCATCAATGGGAGTAGTGGGGGCACTCGGGGGAGAATCTGCCTCTTGCTCATCCGTCCTATCATATTCCTCAGGCGACGTAACCTCATCAGCCGGGACTTCTAAAGTGTGCCTTCTATGTCTTGGCCTTGTAGCCGTCTCTTTGACGCACAGAGACAGTCAAATTCGGGAATGAGCAAGGCAGATCCAAACACCCAGAGACAGCACCCCAGTCCTAGACTCAGCCGTACTAGGAGAACGGCTGGTTATTGACCTAGGCTGTGCCGTGCGTGCTGTTGGTGAATCCATTTATTAAAGTTATATATATACAAACGGTAAAGCTTGAAAGAGCTGAGAAGGGGAGAGACGGTTACCTTAATGTAGCTTGCTGAAACGAGTCTCAAGCGTTGACCGGCTATGTCAACGAAAATAGCAGACGAAAGTTTTTGCGGAAGTTACATCAAGCGACAACCAGAGTCTCTCTCTCTCTAGAATTTTCTCTTTTTCTCTCTCTAGACTTTTTCAAATGTCAAAGATGAGGGAGGAAGGGTAGGGGTAGATGCTTATTTATAGAGGGGTAAAAACGGGGGCATCCCCGTAATTCCCTCAGAAGGTGAACACGTAAAAACTGTTCACCACTTCCAGAGTGACACGCGTCACAGGTGCCACGTGGCACGCCACGTCACCCCTGTGAGGGGCAAATGATTTGGGTAAAAATACCCATGCTACGTGGCCCCATCGGAAGGGGACACGTGTCACCCCAAGACAGGTCCAATAAGGGCCACTCACTAACTGATACCTGACATCCCCAATTAGCAAAGGAAAAAAGCAACCTCCAGGGCCCAATTCCCGAGAAAGCCATAAAAACGGCTTTCGCCCACCAAATCTAGGTCAAGATGACCTAAGAGAGGGCACCTTTTCCAATGACCCTATAAACAGGGAGATTTTCCCCATTTCAGGGACACATTCAATTATTACAACATAATCAATTCTCTCACCTCAGAGAAAAACACCCGATCTCGGAATCCGAGAAAATCTCACTTTACTTTTGGCACCTTTTTTACATTCTTCAACCGGTTCTAATTTGATCGTTGGAGGCGGAGCTTCTACTGCGCGGGGTCTCCGTTGTCTTGCAGGTAAAGGTGCCCAGAATCCAGGCTTAGTGACGTAACTTTCCCGAGGGACACAGAAAACCCCGAAACAGTATTGTTCACCATGATCGAACCGGCTCTGATACCAGGTTGTAATAGACCAGATTTTCCACACCAAGATTAAACACAATCAATAGTAATTTAATGCTAAAGCTTGAATTGCTAATGATTTTCGGATTACAAACTTAGAGAGATAAGTATAGCTTTAACCTTTAGGCTATAAGTCTCATGGTACCTTGAGGCTACTAATCTCAACGTGTTTCACTCAAAAACTGGAGGGATTCTTGTAACACATACTACACTACTTATACTCAAGATTTCTAATGGTCGGCTGACGTGAAGGAGATACATGTGACTACTTAGCTAATATAGAAAAACCATAAGCAAACATAATTATAGTTGGTTGCTTTCTTCCCTAAACTCCTTAATTGGATTTGTCTTCTTGCATAGAAATGCTCCTTGGTTGCTACTCTTGCTTTTGACCTTGCTCATGTTGGTGCTGACCCTTGTTCTTCCCTTTTTCACGCCTCGAATACACCAATAAAGGTGTTTGACCCGGTTAACTCGAGCGGTCGAGCCACTAAATTAGTCCATCACAAACATCATTTAAAAGTAAACTCCTAAACTATTTAGGACACCTATCCCAATAGCTCGCTTACTATTAAAACAAGCACCAGGCTAAGAACAACACAAGGTGCTGAGGTAGCAAAAGTCATAGGGGCTTAATGCTTGATTTACCAAGAAACAAATCAAGGATCAGGACCTTGTACATTTCAATTTTATCCCGCGACGGAACCACATCAATACTTTATTAGGTGCTGATCCTATGGAGCTTATTTACTTACTTTCGTGTCTTTATTTAGTTGACACACATTGACTTTTATCACAATTTGTCCATCAATATCTTTGATTATCTATCTATAAAACTTATAACAAGTTAAAATTCCAATAATATACATTAGGATAAATCTAATATCTTACTTATTAAAACCTGCTTATGAATAATAGCCAAAAAAGATGGTCAAAGCTATGCTAAAATAAAAATATGTCAACTAAATAGAGACAGAGTTGAGTAGTACTTAACTAAAGGTGTGTTGGAAATAAAAATCAGGAAGGAGAGAAAATTTTGTATGATTCAACTTCGATTGAGCCCAGATAACATATTGTTAACGAGCTAACTTTAAATCCACATTTCAGATGAGAAGGTCAACATATTAACAATAGTTAAAGTTCTCTATTTAGGCTTCAGAGATCAAATCTACCTTTAGATGGTTCTCACACACACACAACTCATTTAGACTAATTTATTCACTATGTATAATTAGAAAGCTACGAATGGCAAGATAAGCAAAAATTGTCAACATTATGATGTGCACAAAGCATTATTACCAATCCCAAATTATAAAGATTCTTTGTTTCATGTCAAAATACATTCGATGAGGTTTGCTTGTTGATTGTTGGACTAGGATAAGCTACCTTAGTTGATGATCATAATAGCATGTTAATCTTTGTTTGTCATGGGAATGTGAACTTTAATTGACATAATAGATTGCATGCTTGATCTAAATTCTCTTAGGATTAAGTTTGAGAGGGATCTTGACTTAAGATTTTGAGAATTTGTTCTTGATTGATGTCAATTGCTCCTAACATCCTAGTCTTTGCATGGTGTTAGTTGATTGATGCCCAAATCCTACATTAAATTCCTTGATTTCATGAGGAATCCAACCCCCTAGTGCCTTTATCATTTGATTTACTTGTCAATTTGAATTGTAATTCAATTTAGATAATTCAACTTCAACATTTCGATTTCGAAGTAGCTTAATCATTGGATCAATTTCAATTGTATTTCCCTTTCCTCGTAGTACAATCCTATGCTTGCTTAGGATAGTTAAGTGCTTATAAATCTTGTTTGATATAGGGTGATTAGACTTCGATCTATTCCCTTGTCAATGAGACCACTCAGACCTTTATAAATGGACGCTAACTGATTTCATTAATGGGAAGTTGGTAATATTGCAACTTCTTGATTGGTTCCTTAAAAAAAATAAAAAATAAATGTCATTTACTTTTACTAGTGTTTTGTTTACAGTTAAAATCATATGAAATAAATATTATCTTAAACATTTTTTAAATCAAAGAAATTGACAAGTTTATTGTCAATGCTACAACCTAATAACTATAAATGTGTTTATTTTAATTGGAAGTCATATAAAAAATTGCAAAATTGGACATATACTTTTAAATCAATGCAATTTACTATAATACTCCCTTCATTCCTAAAAGTCAGACTCAACTCACTTTTTGTTTTAGAGTGTTTTGAAAAGTTCGAATCACTTTTAGTTTGTCATTGTTAGTCAAACCCTTTTTACTACTTTATCCTACACTATATATAACTTTTTTACGCACTCTCTCTTCTTTTATCTATTTTTTTTTACACCCACCCACCTCTTACTCCAGGTGTCTTACTTAATCCACTTTTTCTTACACCCACTCACTTTTTATAGGGAACATTTTAGCAATACTTTAGAGAGATAAATTTGGTTCTCAATTCTCATCTTAAACTTGGTTCTCTTGGAGCTTAATTATATATACTTCCTATGTTTCCTTAAAATTGCAAAAATTAAATTTTGTACTATTTATATACTAACTTTGACCACATGTTATTAATATAATACTTAAAATAAGATATTAATACATAATTTGCCGTTGGATTAATCTAAAGTTTATTTTCAATATACTAACTTTAATTACAGAGAGAGAGAGAGAGAGAGAGAGAGAGAGAGAGAGAGAGAGAGAGAGAGAGAGAGAGAGAGCATTAAAACTCAATTACGTCGTCAACAAAATGCAGTCAAGTTTTAGCCTTTTCTATTAACCAATAAAGTTCATGCAAACTTTAACTGACCTCTTTCCGTGGAGCCAGTTTAGGAGGGTCTAAAATGACAATATCCCATGTCTCGTTTCTAGCAGCAGCTTTCTTCATGAAGTCAGATGCATCTTGCTTCAAAAATGTTACCCTCTCAGATTCTAGGCCATTGAGTACAACATTTTTTTCTGCAAGCTCCAGAGCAGGCATCGATGAATCAATACCTTGCAATAGATAACAATTGTTTGTATTCATCCTCATGACAGATGCACACAATAGAACTTAGAAACACGGTTTATCATGGTTTGAAACTACAATTTGTCTTACATCCAGTGATAATTAATAATTCAATGATTTGAAAACTAAATAGAATCATAAGAAATCATACATTAATAGCTTCTGAGGTACATAAGAAGATAACCTAGTCATTAAGGCTAGGAAAAGGAACTCGGAACTGTTTCTTTTTCCCATTTCCAAATCTCCATTTTTGTTAGAGGATGTTTGTTTGTATTTCCCCATCTTTCTCCCTCCTCTAGATTGAGCAACAAATGACAGCTCAACTTTATGAATGTCAAACTCAAATTGTCTTATAAGGCTCCCATTATTCTTATTCTTAGTCTTAATAGGTCTAGAAAATATTACAGCTTGGTGCACAAGAAATACCAATTTGAAATTCAGACTGTCTTAATTTTAAAAAACTTCTAAAATTCAGTGGTCTTATAGTTATATCCAAAAACAATTGCAAGCCTACCAAAGAAGAAGAAGAAGAAAAAGATAAGGGGGGGGGGGGGGGGCGGAGGTAATGCTTCACATATTCACATATGAAATACAAGGGAGGATATTAACAATAAGCATATAGCATACTATGAAGCATAATGTTCATAATTTATGATGTGAACAGCATAATTTCACATGTTGACCATGCCTTATAATTTAAGATTCAAGGCATTGGATAGCTGCCATAATATGCCTACAGATTTCTCCACACAAGAGTGTGTGTGTTGGGGGAGGGGGGTAAAAATTTCTAAAATGTAATATATACCGGTTACTGACACAGCACCACCACGTGCTGCATTAAGAGAAAATCCGCCACTATAGCAGCATATATCAAGGACCCTCTTGCCTTCGGCAATTGTTGCTATGAACTGACGGTTTTCACGTTGATCAGCATAAAATCCTGTTTTCTGTCCCGTGAGTGAAATAGCATATATAATTCCATTTTCCTTCACCTGAAAAAGTTTCAGCAGTTAGATTGCAAATGCTTCACTGATTAGGGAATAATGAGTGAATAGGATCATAAAGCAATACTCACATAACTTTTCTCCACGTTAAACACAATATATTTAGGAAAAGCAAGTTATTTCTCTCTGTTTATGCCTTCTTTCAGGAGGTAAATACCTCTACTTGTGGAAGAGGAGCAACAGGTGTATGCTTCAACTGCAAAAGGTCTAAACCCTCTTCTTTTAACATGTCAACTGAAGGTCTCCAGTTTATATGACGTATTCCATCAACTTTATTGATAAAAGCCTCTATTTCTAGTTTGTACTTCTCAACCCATGCAGCAGAAGATGCAACAACAGCTACATCACCAAACACATCAACAATAAGGCCAGACAACCTGAGTCCAGCATATGATATATTATGAGATGAAGAAAACACCAAAGACAATGTTACAAAAATGCATCATAGTCTGTGTAATAAACGGACAGAAGTTTCTACTGATCATCAAACTCTTAGTATGATTCTCTTTTAAGAGCTGTGTAAATATATACATTCTCCCAAGTTTGATGTAGGCACCTGTCTCCTTCACTGTTGACAAGACGGTACGCATTTGTATTTATAGAAGGGAGCCCTAACTGTCTTCGTAAATCTGTGGCCGCATTTATTCTATGCTCCAGTAGTCTCTCCATGTTCAATGCACATGTAGGGTCTCTACATATGTAGAAGAAAAGATATTGAAATCATCCCCTGTAGAAGTAATAAGGAAAAATACATTAAGCTCTTAAGACTATTTACCTTGAAGCTTCCTCCTCTAACTGCATTAGACGAACACAAAACATAGAAGCGGAATTGTATAAGCCCCATCCTATTGGAATTTCTGCTCCATCGGCTACCAAAACAACTTCGCCAGTCTTGGGCGGTGGTCTACCAATTATTCTATCAACTGCCCCACTATAGACCATAGGACTTCCATACTTAAAGAGTTGAGTCTTTCCTTTCTTCAGAACAACCTTTGCAATTCCTGCAAAGTATAGATATAATACCAGTGACAATTAGCATACAGTGCAAAAACAATAATGTCCCTTGAAGAAAGAAATAGAGTACAAGGACATCTATGATATTGATCAAAAAGCCCTTTCTCCAACCCCTCTTTGTTCATTTCATATTATGCCAAACTGGCAACCATTAAATAAGCATCACTTCAAAGTGGTGCCACAAAAGTCGCAATATTTTCAAAGTGGTGCTGCCCTCTGCAGACTTGCAGAAAATATCAGATTTTTCCCCAACCTTTATTTCCCTGTAGACAGGCCATTTGACCAAACCTTTGGTGAGGACTTTTGACATTCTGGTTATTAACATTCACTCCAGAATTTTCTCTTTAGAACCACCCACGTAAAACCTTAGACACAAACACACATAAAAAAAAACCCTAGATACACGTCCTCAAAAACATCTATTACTCCTATACTTAAAATCAAACACAACACATCAGATGAAAAAGATAGAGAAAGTGATAAAAAACAAGTCCTTCAAGAAGAACAGTAAAATGTATGACCCCTCATTATGCTTTCTAATTCAATCCCGCACTCTTATTATTGTTCAAGGACTAATTTCAATCATATGAATTGGTAGTATAAGAATAATTAAAGTAAAATCGTACTTATATTACTATATTTAGAACCTTGTATGACAAGCTAAGAAAGTTATCATATGTGAATCATATAAAATTTATCATTAATAGTAACATTTAAGGGTGAAATTTGATATTGTATGGCTATTACAATTAGTTATTTCATAGTTTATATAACTATGAAATAACCATAGGCTTGCAGAAAACGATGGTAGGACTTTTCATAATTGTACTAATTGCACCTTTGCCCGCAATGCATCAAAACTATTCTTTATGGTGTTATCCACTTATCCCTTGGTATGCTTTAGGAAAAAGCTGTAATTGTGTGTTTGTTCCAACTTTTTTTTTTTATTACAGTCCAAATAATCACTTATGCAATTTCCTAATACTCATTTGCAGCTTCTTCTAACATTTGACCCTTCGCAACCAATTTTCCAAATCATTTTTATTATACTCCCTCTGTTTTTTTTTTTTTTCGTGATACATTAGCACTTTTCACGTATGCTGAGGCATATATTTGACAATTAATATCACTAATTGTGTGTTTATAAAAATTTGAAAAATGATATTTTGAAAATATCATTGTGACTAATCCAACAATATATTATACAACAACATTAAGTTATTATAAATTAGTTTTTTGTAAGAAAAAAAAAAAAAAAATCAAAGTCAATACGTTATTAGTGCAAAATGTCAGTGTTAACTAGAAAACATGGAAGGAGTTTCTGTCATATTCCAGAATCCAGAGTATCAGCAAGAGTAGGCAGGGATAACTCCCCGTTCATAGTTGAGGGAGGGGGGAACTCATGACCTTTACATACACCCAAGAACCCTTAACCTTCTTTAAGGGACAACTCCTTGAGGTATTAGAGTATTATAGATGTTACTGTTGCCTTTCAAAGAACACATCTTTTTAATACATAACTAAATAACTTGATGGACATGGAATTTTTGAAAAGTCAATCGAAGAACATATCTACATGAGATAACTTAAGTTAAAATCTCCATCCATCTTAAATAGTTTGAAAAATTCTTTGTGATGAGTTATTGAGATGCATAAATTATTATCTAATAGAAACTCCACTAGTGGGTTTTCCACTGCCAATCCCAAGCTTGGATAAAGGAAGAGGGTTACGGTAGGCCAGTGACAGCCAGTGTAAAACTTTGTTACATCGCTTGACATGAGCCACAATGATTGAGGGTAGTATTAGGATGGGTGACCTTCTAGGAAGTCTTCATGTTGGTTCATGTAGCCGATCCTACTTACAGGATTAAGGCGTTTAAGCAGAATAAGAAATGCGGATGTGCTAGAAGATAACAAAAGTATTATTTTATTGAGAAGGTAGATGTGATAGAAGTTAGAATATATTGGAGTATTTTTTTATTTTTTAATTGTGAGTGATAGTAATAGTGAGGTTCTTAATTTTTTTATGGTAGAAAGAGATATGGATTACAATAAAATTGGGGTTTTTCTCAATTATGAAGTTTTCAAACCAATCCAAGACAAATGTTTGAACTATTCTAGGATGGATGGAGAATTACGCTATGTGTTCAAGCCCAACTTTAAGCTCTATTTCATCCAACCTCAAATTTTTTAAACATCATTCCAGTATAATTTTCTCTCTGAACTAGATAATGAGTAATATAAATGCCCTCCAATAGAATCAACATATGACTATATTAGCCTCAACTCTCAGACTTCCTTAAGTAAATGTCCCCTTTCATATTGTCCCCTAGCATAGACTGCTTTAACACCTTTAAGGTTCCAATATTGTTTGTGTCACTCGATTACTAACATAATAGAAGAAATGTGATTCCAATACGTCCTACAAATTAAAGGCAAAAATTTTACCAGTTCCAAGGGATTGAATACATTTCACAGCAACAAGAATTAAGACTTTTAACACTTTCTACCATTTAAATTAACACATGTAAATGAGCATCTCATCCTCAAAAGCAACATAAATGTTATTATAGTCCATTACGGTTCGAAAGATAGGGCACAGATACAAAGTCTATAGCAATAAAGTCACAAACCACCAACAAAAGTGCTAAACCAATATAGATGATATTCTTATATAAATCTCCAATAATTAATTGAAATAAAGAAGGCATTATGTGCAATTTCGGCTACCAATTAGCAGATAATCTAACTGCCAAGTGCCAATACATCATTCTGGTATACACCAAGCCACCAAGGTATCAAAATCATTCATATATATGAAATTCAAAGTTGCAAGTTTTTTTACAAAAAAAGTCTCTTGGAATTTAGGACGGGAAGCTATTGGAGTTCAAAAAAATGATTTATTATTCATAATTGGCCCATTAAGCAATCAAAAATCATGCAGAAAGCCTAACAAAAAATAACTCCAAAAGGACCAAAACTACACCGTTTGGCGAATTAAAATCAGGCAAATTAATATAGATAGCTATATTGTAAATTAGAAATCATATTTTTTGACAATTAATCATGTACAGTGAGTTCAGAACATCAAAGAATGAGAGCAGAAGTCATTGAAGAAGACGAAAATGAGGAGAGAGAAAGAGAAAGAGAGAGACCTTGAGGAGAAGAAGAAGCGATTTCCTGGAGGGTGGTGGTAGGAGCAGAAGATGAGGAGAGAGATAAGCATTTGATAAAGCGAGAAGGAAGAATTGACATAGCCGCCATTGTCATTTGAGCTTGAAACTGCTATGGCGGGGAAATTCAGGTTACGGGCCGCTTTGAGCTTTGGAATTTCTAAGCGAACATCCGTATATATGGATAATAACTACTCCACCGTTTTTTAAAGAGCACTTTTCCTAAATAATGTTGAGAAAGTATCTAATTCCCAAATTATAGCTAATCCTTTTTTAATTTTCACCGTACCGTCCACGTCACCGGTTCAGTGGAAATTATTTTTAAAACGGGTTAATTAGAAAACCGCTACTTCAAGTAGCGGTGTACTGAAGTAGCGGTTTTCTTATTAATATTTTTTAACAGAATCAGTTTCTCCTTTTCCTTCCTTAGTAAAATTATTCGAAATCAAACATCCCAAAAAAAAAAAAAAAAAAAAAAAAAAACGACACTACTCCTCATCCTCAAAACACCACTCCTTTCACCAGCCAACACATCAATCCCTAGCACCAGAAGCCGCCACATTTGCCGTCGTCGTTGATGTCACCGACTTCCTCATGATTGGTTGCCGATGTCAGAGAATTAGTGGGTTGTTGTTTGCTGAATTAGTGGTAAGTTGATTGTGTCCTAATTATTTTTTTATTCAATTATCAAATTAATTTGTTATTTTAGTGTAATTGTATGCTAAATTCATAGCACGTGATTGACAATTTGTGCTTAATTGTGTAGTTTCAATGTTAATGTACTTTTTGGCTTGGCTTTTGTGTGTGTGTGTGTGTGTTTGTGGTGGTTCTTAGGTGGTGATTTTTAAGTGTTGGGTTGGTTTTTTTACCGGGTGAATGGGTGTTAGGTACGAGTACAGGTCGTAGGTAGGTGGGGAGGGGTTTCTTGGGACCGTGGGTGGTGGGTGTCAGGTGGGTTTTGAGTAAGTGTTATGCATGGGAAAAGGGTATCAAGGATGAGATGGTGGTGCAGTTTTGGGGTGAGGTTTGGTGTGGTGTGTAGTGTTGTATGATGGGGGTGAAGCTTAAGAGGGTGGGTAGTGAAAGATATAGAGTATGTTGCAGTTTGTTGAGAATGCTGATGAATGAATCTGTTGATTTAGCACTCAATAGAAATGCTGATGAATGAATTTGTTGAGAATGGGGATGGGGTAAAAAATATAACACCACTAAGAAAATTAAAACATGTATAAAATCTGAAATATGTGTGCATGCAGGGGGTGTTTCTAAATAAATTTATATTCATGCTTGTGTAAATAAATTTTGCAAAACTAATATCTTTGATTAATCATGGTCTTTTCTAGAATGAAACATAGAGGTACCAAAACTACCCTCTATATTGCTATTGGGGTGGAGAAATATCCACAAAGATAGAGATGCGTAACGTATAGGGGTGGAAATCAAAAATTTGTTTTTGTACATCCTGGGATGACATATTCACACGTTTTGAACAAGCTATATGAAGAATTGAGTATGGATCCTAGATTTGTGGAGTTGAAGGTGGTTATGCGGTATCGTATGACTGGGGCATATGTCGTAGTTTCGTTGAATGACGACAATGCTCTTAAGGCTATGTGGATTGTTGTGACTCAGAGTTCTTCTATTGCAATGCAATTATACATTGAACAGGTTCCAAAGGAACCAATTGTGCAAACTAATACTGGTTCCTTTCCGGATATGGATTATTTTTGTAGTATGGAGCAACCAATTCCCCTTACTAATCAAAGTGTGGGGATAGGCTCATTCACAAGAATGCTTATTGATCCTCAATATGTCAATGAACATCTTTCACATATTAGGTCTCCGACCTCATCGCCTAATGTTGGAACCTCAACAAGCACACAACCACAAGCCATTATCGATTCTCTTGACCCAAACAATGTTGATGTTTGTTTTTGGGGATGTCGAGATTGAATGATACTGATGACGGTGATGATGAAGATGTAATTGAAGCTCGTGATTAGGCAATTAAAGAAAGCGCTCCCACTACAGACTTCAATGAAGTGTCGCAAGTTGATCCACATTTGAATAACTCATGGATGACTTGGTTAAGAAATGAGACATATAGCAATGGGGGGGGAATTTGAGGTTGGACAGCAGTTTGACTCATTGCAACAATTGAAAGATGCTGTGAAGTCTTACTCCATAGCGAGAAATAAAACAATTTGAGTTGTGGAGGCAGAGCCAGAGAAATATGTTGTTGAGTGCAAGAGGAAAGAACAATGTAGTTGTTCGTGGAGGCTTAGAGGAGTGAAAGATCCAACACTTTCTACTTTTAAAATTGTTCGGTACAACGGCCCTCATGCAAGTAATTGTGTTGGTGACATCGACTTGGTGGATCATAAGCTACTCACTTCCGAGTTTGTTTGCAATGCTCTTTTAGATGTCCTTCGCGTTGACCCTTCATTGAAAATCAAGTCAATAGTGCAACTTGTGAAAGAGAAGTTTGAGTTCTCAATAAGCTACAAGAGAGCATGGCTAGCGAAACAAAAGGCAATAAAACTCATTTATGGGGATTGGGAGGGTTCATTTCAAGAGTTGCCTAAGTACATGCAAGCGTTGAAGGAATCAAATGCTGGAACTGTTAATGAGTGGAGGTTGTTACAGAGTACGGTTCCTGGAACTTATGTTTTCCAACGAGTTTTTTGGGCATTCAAGCCATGTATTGATGGATTCCGTCATTGTAGGCCCCTTATCACCATTGATGGAAATCATTTATATGGAAAATACAAAGGGACTCTACTTATTGCTATGGAAACCGATGCTAATTTTCAACTATTCCCCCTCGCGTTTGCGGTCGTTGAAGGAGAAAACAATGATATTTGGTCTTGGTTCATGGCTTGTATTAGAGCTCGAGTAACAGATAGAAAAGGGCTAAGTGTGATATCTGATAGACATGCTGGCATTTTAACAGCAATGGATGAGGTTAGAAGTGGTTGGGAGGAGCCCAATGCCTACCACAAGTAATGCACACGTCACTTGGCTTCTAATGTGAATTCAAAATTTAAAAGTGTCATCATAAAGAACCTTTTTGGCAAAGCAGCTATTGCAAGGCAGAAGAAGAAGTTCGATTACTACATCAACAAAATTGGTGACTTGAATGTAGAGGCCCGTCGGTACTTGATGGAGATTCTGTACTATAAGTGGTCCATCCACAATGATGGTGGTTTAAGGTTTGGTGTGAAGACTACAAACATGTCAGAAGTTTTCAAATGGAGTCTTAAAAGGGGCTCGTTGTCTCCCGATAACTGCCTTAGTACAAATGACCTTTTTTCGAGTTAACTCCTATTTTGCAACTAGACAAAGTTGGAGAAGAGGGCCATGAGTTATCAGAAAAGGCTATAAAGACAATAGAGGCCAACATGGAGAAAGCCATGCACCATGAGGTTGTTGCTTTTGACTATGATGCCATAGGGTTGTATCAGGTTAGGACAAGTCGTGGAAGGAGAAAAGCTAGTAAAGGTGGTAACTCCCACACTGTGAATTTGATGAGAAAGACATGTACTTGTGAGAAGTTGAAAATATACAAGTTGTCATGCTCTCATGTCCTAGAAGTTTGTCGGCATCGAAGCCTATCACACTTAGACTTTGTGGATTCTTTTTTAGGACCGCCGAATACGGACTTTCATACTCGAAGTGTTTCACACCAGTTCCTGATCCTTGCCATTAGTCCACTTACTATGGGCCTAATGTAGTAGCCAACCCAGATCTGAAAAGAGGCCCAGGCCAACGGTCTACTAGAATCCGGAATGAAATGGATGAGCGTCCCTATCGTGTCAAGAAGGCATGCACTGTTTGTCGGCGATCTGGGCATAAAAAGAAGACATGTCCTATAATTAGTGGTGGTGTTGGATCATCTGGGTAACAACCATTAGATATTGCTAAAATTTGAAATCTTTTTTTTTTTCCTTACGCATGCTTAAAATTAATTAAATTTCCTCTTATCATGTAGGTCCCATGGATCCGGTGATTCGACCAGGCCCAATTGATTCATCTGTTCTACGGTTGTAAACTTCCCATAGGAGTCATGACGTTTGGAGTGGCATGGCTGATAGAGTTTTGTCAGTTAGGGAGAATGTGGTTAGCATGGGACGTGAGTGGAGGATAGAGGGTGGAGTACTAGACTATGTGAAGCGTGTTGAGTTTTACGGTGTGCATAGACTATGTTGAGCATGTCAGAGAGGAGCATGTCAAATTTGGAGGCCTATTTGTCCTAGTGCAGCTGTGGTCGTGAGAGCAGATTAGTATTGGTAGACCTTATGCAAGGAAGCCTTGAGATCTGCCGCAGGAGGACCTTTAGGAGGAGGATGACATTTTGGGGACTCAGCATGAGCGAGGTGTTGACTCTTTGGCGTGTAGGTAGTGTATTGCTTAAAGTTTTAGTGTTTACATTGCTGTCCCTCGAGAATTAAGAATTATTATTAACTAATTTGTACAGTTGGCTACATTTACATCTTTCGTGTGTGCATACTGCTTTTAGACTTTCATACTATCGAGATGCGTTTGACCATCATCATGAGGACGAGGTATAATCGGTGTTTTTTTTATGCATTGGTATTAGTTCATTATAATAGTTATATTAAATTATACAAATAACATACCTAATTTGGGAATTAGATGATTTGGCAGCCATATATTCTGAGGCGATGATTGAGCGACTTCCAGAGATTTGTCGCTCTGACATTTACATTTGGCGTACACGAGCCCCTCTGATTTGCTTTGACGTCGTTAAGTTCCACCTCCCAGACCGAGTTATGCGTCAGTTTGGGTTGGAGCAGCCGATCCCAGAGGCAGTTGACACGGACGTTGCTCTACACAAGAAGGATCGAAGGGGACAGCGTAATTGGGAGATTCGACATTCCGAGCATGTACATGAGTGGAGTCGACGAGAGGCATTAGTAATTCAGGGTAACCCATTCACTGGGACTTCAAGTAGCGGTGTATGAAATTGAATGAAACCACTAATTGAAGTAGCGGTTTATTTCCAGAATACCGCTACTTCAAGTAGCGGTTTGTTGCTGGACCGATAAAAAAAACCGGATTTTTTTCCCAAAGCTGACGTGGATGGTAATTTGGGGATTAAAAAAAGAATGGCTATAAGTTGGGAATTACATACTTTCCCAACATTATCTAGGCTTCCTTGCTCATTTTTTAAAGTGGTCGTATACAATCTGATTTTGGGCCGTCCAACCATTAACGAGTCCAAGGCAGTCATCATCCCATCCTTCATGCTGTTGAAATTTGAGAGGGATGATGGGTTAGTAGGTTCCCTGAATGGGGATTAGAAGACAGCAAGGGAGTGTTACCTTTCAGACGTTAAGCATATTGTGGTTGCAACCGGCCAAGGTGAAGAGCCCATTGACTTTGATGACTTCAAGGAAGCCGCGCCTGTCCCTAAAGCAGCCAGCAAAAAGAGGAAGGTGGACCAGTTGGTGGCTGTTAAGAAAGAAAAGCAATAGCAAACATTGATCGGGGAGCGGTCAGACGATCTCCGTCCCTAGCCGGCTGGTGAGCATATTGACATCCCTCTAGATGATGCACGTCCGGAGCGATTTGTTAAGGTGGGGATGGGTGCCGACTTGCACCAACTGTTGAAAGAATTCAAAGACATTTTTGCCTTTGAAGTGGAAGAGATGTCAGGCGTCAGCCCGGATCTTGCTGTGCACAAACTCGTCGTGGATCCAAGAAAGAAGCCGGTTGGCAAAAGAAAAGGAATCATGGTGAGGAGAGATCTCAGGCGGATGCCGCCGAGGTTAAGAAGCTGATGGACGCCGGGTTCATTCAGTAATGTTATTATGTGGGTTGGGTAGCAAACGTTGTCCTTGTGAAAAAGCCGAATGGTACCTGGCGTATGTGTGCTGATTACACAGATCTCAACAAGGCATGTCCAAAGGATAGTTATCCACTCCCAAAGATCGACAGTCTTGTTGACTCTACAGCCGGTCATGCCTTGATGAGTTTCATGGACGCCTACTCAGGCTTTCATCAGATACCCTTGTGGAAAAAAGATCAAGAGAAGACATCATTCGTCTGATCAAGGGTTATTCTGTTATACGGTGATGCCGTTTGGGCTAAAGAATGCGTCTGCTACTTTCTAACGAATGATTAATTCAGTCTTCATTAATCAAATTGGGAGGAATGTAGAGGCGTACATTGATGACATGATAGTCAAATCTAAGATACAGCCGGATCACCTTGTTGACCTCCGAGAAACATTCACCACCCTCCACTAGTAGAAAAAATGAAATAGGCACCCCCCCTTTAGCACCGGTTCTTGAAAACCGGTGCCAAAAGAAATGGGCGGGATTGAAAAATTTGGAGTTGGCACCGGTTCCAACCAAAACCGGTGCCAATCATTTAATTAGCACCGGTTCAAACTGATGCCAACTTATTTAAAAAAAAAATAAGTATGACATAGAGCTGGCACCGGTTCGCCTTAAACCGGTGCCAACTATGTTAATTAGCACCGGTTCAAACCGGTGCCATATTTGAGTAGAAAAAACCCGGGTTAGGTTATTCGTGCGTTTTTCTTTTTCAATTCCTTTTCCTCTGTAACTTGCTTCTCCTTTCTCCTTCTACCTTTCCCCATTTCCCTCTTGACTCCACTACTTCCACCACTGCGCACCCCTTTCCACCGCCACCACACTCTATCTTCATTCTTCACGGCGTCAAGGTGATGTGACGGTGGTCGCGATTGGTTGTTGGAATTTTAGAGTTTCAGGTGGCAATTTGGTTGAGTTTTTGTTATTTTAGTTTTGAAATTAGGGCTTTGGTTGATTGTGGTTATGGGTATCCGATTTTTAGTTGTTTTTAGATGGATTTTTGGTTGATTTTAGATGGATTTGTTGTGGGATGCAATTCCTTGGTATTTTTGTTGTGGTTTTGAATACCTAATTGGTTGAACTCTTCACTCTGGTCTACGCCTCCTCCTTCTTCTTTTGCTACCACCATCTCTCTCCTCCGCCCATCGTCCGCCCTCCGTCGCCGGTTCGACCTCCATCCCCACCTCCTTCGCCGCCGGACTCCAATGGCATTTCCACTTCCTCTGCTTCTCCTTCTCCTTCTCCTACCCCCGAGGAGATTTCTCGCCATGCTCAGCTCTCACTCGAGGTTCCTCTCTCTCTTCTTTCTTTTTCAATTCAATTCATCACCAACAACTCCTAACCTAACCTAATTTGTTGAATTTGTAAAGCTGTCGAAGAAGATCATCAACATCAGAGAAATCAGGAGGTTAGCATCCATGGGTCTTCCTGATGCTCCTGCCATCCGCTCTACTGTCTGGAAGGTTTCTGTCTCGCTTTCTATTCATTTCATACTTTGAGTTGATTACTTACTTAATCTAAATTGAAATACCTAAAGATATAAATTTCAACTGCAATTGGCAGCTTCTGCTGGGGTATTTGCCCATTGATCGAGCAATGTGGCCCTCTGAATTAGCAAACAAGAGGTCTCAATACAACCATTTCAAGGATGACCTCTTGATGTCTCCCGTATGTCCTCTTCTCTCTTTTCTTTTTTTTTTGTCTTTGTTTCCTTTCACTTTCGATTTTGCTTCGCGCTTCTTTCATGTTAATTATTAGTTTAATGATCAAATTTAGGGTGCATCAAAAACCACCTCTAATAGAACCTCTTAACAAATTATGTTTATGAAATTTTGTCTACCGTTTACCCAATTATAGATAGTAGATATAGTCTCATAAGAGGAATTGCGGTGATGTTGTATTATGATATTATATGCATATATGGCTTTCTGTTAAGGTTGAGCATATGATATTAGGATCACTGTTCTAATGCTTTAGGTGATTCTAGTTGCTATGTTAATCATGCAGAAAAGTATACGCAACTTGTTGCTAAGCATTTTTAAGTTTGTGTTATGTTGTTATTGATTGACTGCTGTCTTATTTATGCGCCCTCTGCCATTGCTTGAGGCTCTTGGGAGAATAAGTTAAGTGGCCTAATATTGTAATGTCAGGTTCTTGCTGAAAAAGCTTATATTGTGGGTGTGGAGCAAAAAGGTATTAAAGTGGATTCTTTTGGAATAGAAGAATCTCTGAAAGAATTGGCTCAACTAGCTGACACAGCAGGTCTTCAGGTTGTTGGCTCTACCTATCAAAAGTGAGTATGTCGTGGGTTTTTCTATTGCATAATGTGGTTACGCTATAAGTTGCAATGTGCATATACTTAAGACAGTACAATTAGCTAATTGGAGATTTATATTATCTGTGCATGCCCTAAATCTTCCAGTTAACATGTTATATATCTCTGTCACTCTGTGTGTGACTGTGAAAGTTGGGGAAGGGTTGGAGAATTGAATGGGGGAGTGTCACTTAAAACGATAATGTAACTCTTTTAATTAGAGCTTAAGGGGTTTCAGTGAGTTGATTTTGTATCTGTTGTAATTCTTTGCAAGTGAAAAGCACTTATAACTTAAGGCATGTTATGTGTCATCTGGGAACATGGCCTCCAAAGCAGCTACAATTCAATTAAAAGCTTTAGTACCTCCGTTTTAACTTGTTAAGATAGAGATTGTTAAACAAAACTCAGATTACTTTACCAAGTGTGTATTGACTTATGAGTTTTTGTCATATAGTTTACATATGTCTTCTATCAAATACATTTCTCCTTTATTTTTGCTTTGTGAGAACTGCTGGTTTGCATGGTTAATAACTTCAACACCTGCTGTATGAATTAGGCTTGCTGCTCCAAATCCAAGAACATATATTGGCTCAGGCAAGGTTTCTGAGATCAAGAGTGCAATTCATGCATTTGATGTTGAAACAGTGATATTTGATGATGAGCTCTCACCAGGGTAAGAATGAAACACTTTTTTATTCAGAAACTGACAGTTGGTGTACATGCATTGTTTAGCTATCAACATTTCACTAGTAGAAAAATTGAAATAGGCACCCCCCCTTTAGCATCGGTTCGTATCTGGTTATGAATCTAAATGTCGTATGATATACACATTGAGACTCATAAGTAAAGTTCATTGAAAAAACATATTATTTAGTTATATGAATACACAAAAAAATATGGGAGACCATGTATGGATTCTATATCCTTTGAAAATGGGGTTGGGCAGAGTATCCACCAGTCTGAGATGGCATAGAAGATTGAAATTGCTTATAGCCTGGCAACAAGGAACATTATGTGATATAACAATTGGCATTGCTAATTTTAACTATTGATTGAATTAGCTCTGTGGGGTAAGTTGTTTGTGTTAGTTCAGAATTTCTCTTGATATTAAACATTGTGTCTATTGATGCTCTCTTGGCTTCGATAAGATGAGGACCTCAGTTTAACTCTTCTAAATTTTTTTGCCAGATACATTTCAAGCCCGTAAGAAGCTGCCTTTGGTTCCAAATTCTAGGGTAGTACAACATACCTTGCAGAATGCAGATGGTTTGGGAACAGAAACTAGTGATTCGATTAGCGTAAATGTGAATGAATTGGATTCCTTTGGTGCAGGACTACAGAATGAAATTGGTGAATACAATTGCTTCTTAAATGTGATCATTCAGGTTTGTAACATAACTCATTTTTCATTATTCTTGACTTCATGCTGCCTGCAGCTATTTTGGCCTGATTTTTTCAAGTGGCTTGTCGTAGTCCCTATGGCATCTAAAACGGTTCCGGGAAGAGTTTTTGAGGAGATCGCCTTCTGAGCATGTTCATGTATGCTGAAAGTTTTAATCTTATTAAGTTTGCTGAATGTATGCTGTGTTTTAATCTTATTAAGATTGCTGAATGTATGCTGCATTTTAATCTTATAGAGATTGCTGAATATATACAATGACCCTGATCGTTTAATTTAGGTCCATGTCATCTGTTGGTTGTTGCCCTACTGTTCCATTTTGAACTTCATCTTTACCATGCATTCAGTGTGTAATTGATGTTAGCGCGTTGAAATCTCAGTAAATAAACTTGAAAGATGGTTGATGTTCTATTTATTCATTTTTATGCCGATGACCTGCTCTATTGTCTTACCTCGAGCTTCTTCTTGACCCTATGTGCTTGATATTATATGAGTGACATTGCCTGGTGTTTTCGCCTTCTTTCAAGGCCAGCTGTTTGAAGTGGTTTTTAATTATTGAGATAAATGAACTTGAAAGATGGTTGATGTATCTCCTGTGAGCAAGATCTTTTTCATTTTGTGTCTTCACCTCTGTTATACTACCTTGAACAAGTTCGGTAATTTACGCGTCACATTGCTTGTGTTGTTGTTTTTGCATTCTTTTCTAGTCTGTTTTGTCTATTGTGTGCTGCTGCAGGCTGTGTTCTACTGTGATGCTGAGCTAGTCAGTGTGGTGGGATTGTTTGACTGTTCATGTGCCTGCTCAGAGCTTCTGTTTTTTCTGTCCCTGCTGGTTTGCTATGGTCTGTCTTTCTGCTGGCCTGTTGTGTAGCTGTTTTGCGTTCATGAGCTTGGTTCTGATGTGGTGGCTACTGTGCTGGTGTCTTTGCTCTGGTGCAGTTTGTGTTTCTATGACCCTGGGACTGTTCTGCTATGGTTCAGATTGCTATGATGCTGTTTGCGTTTGGTCTGGTCAGTTTTTTAGTAGCGGTTTTGCTGATTTGCTTTGCTCTGATTCTGTGTTGCTAAGTGCTAGGTTTTATGGGCTGATCCTTGAAGCTTTCTGCTCAGCTGGTGCTGTCTAACTGCTGTTCTTCAAGGACCTACTGGTGCCTGCTCTGCACTGGTTGGGCTGCTGGTTTTGGTGTTGTACAGTAGTGGTGTGGTTTGGTGTTGCTGTTTTGGTGGGCTCCGAGGTTGTAATATTATTTTTTTTTTTGGACGAAAATTGTAATATTACAGCCTTTTTTAATGAAAATATGTAACTTTATATATATGTTAATGTTTCTATATCAATTTAAGTGAAAAAAATGCAAATTTTTATTATTTTTAATTTTTTTATTTTTTTGGGGTATTTCTGGCACCGGTTTGGACCAGAATCGGTGCCTAAAGTGGGGTTTTTTGCACCGGTTCTTGCTTAAAACCGGTGCCAATAGTGTTGATAATAAAAAAAAAAAATCGCGCCTTTGAAGTTGGCACCGGTTAACCAGTGCCAAAGCCTTTAGTTGGCACCGGTTTTGAACCGGTGCCAAATTTTTGAGGATTTGGCATCCCTCAAATCCCCAACGGTTCAAAACCGGTGCCTTAGGGGGGGTTTGAACCGGTGCCAAATTACCTTTTTCGTCTAGTGCTCAGGCGGCATAAGGTCATGCTTAATCCCAAGAAGTGTGTCTTTGGCGTTGAGTTCGGAAAGTTTCTCGGATTTTTGATTGATCAAAGGGGGATAGAGGCCAATCCAGAAAAGGTGCAGGTGGTAATTGACATGAAGTTACCCCGCACTGTCAAGGAGGTTAAAAAATTAACCGGTTGCCTGGAGGCATTGGGGAGATTCCTCAGCCGGTCAGGTGACAAGTGCCTCTATTTCTTCCAAGCAATCAAGAAGAAGACTAGATTTGAATGGGGGGAAAATGCTGAGGCGGCATTTCAGAAGTTGAAAGAGCACTTACACTCGTTGCCAAGGCTGGTTAGCCCCCTAGCCAGGGAGGTCCTGTACATGTACTTGGCCGTCTCAAATCATGCCCTCAGTGTCGTTCTCCTAGCTGAGCGAGACAACATTCAACTCCTGGTCTATTTCATAAGCCATGTTCTTCGAAACGCTGAACTACGGTACCCCTTGGTTGAAAAATTCGGCCTTGCCCTTTTCATGGCAATCAAGAAGTTGAAACCCTACTTCTTGGCTCATCCGGTGGTGGTCTACACAGATCAACCCCTCAAGCGGCCAATGACAACTTTGGAGTCATCCGGTAGAATGCTCAAGTGGGCTATTGAAATGCAAAGCCTTGAAATTACTTTCGAACCTAGAAAAGTGAAGGGTTAGGCGTTTGCCAACTTCATTGTCGAAATGAAAAGGCTTTGATCAGGTTAGCAAAGTGTATGTAGACGGGAGCTCTACTATGAATGGCTGTGGTGCAGGGATAATATGCTAGTTCCCGGAAGGGGACAAATATGAATATACACTACGGTTCAAGTTCCAAGCCTCAAATAATGAGGCGGAATATGAGGCCCTGCTAGCCGGTATCCGTATGTGTAAGGCGGCAGGGGCAAGAAAAGTTGACGCCTGCTCTGATTCTCAGTTGATCGTTAGCTAATACCATGGTGACTACGAGGACACCCATCCGGCTATGGTCAAATATCTGCAGGCGGTCAAAGACGAGGCCGGGAATTGACAAATTTCATCTGAGTCAAGTGCCCAGGTCAAAGAACAATCAAGCGAATGCACTCTCTAAGTTGGCATCATCCGCCTCTTGGGATACGCCTAGGTCAGTCTTTTGGGAAGTCATGGAAAGGAGAAGTATTGAGCATGATCCCATTGGAGTTCTTGACTGAAGCTCGACCTGGATGGATGCTATTCGGGCTTATCTGGCAGACGACACTTTGGCGGACGCCCATTTAGAAGCGGCTGCATTGAAGAAGCGGGCCGCAAGTTTTGAGATCCATAATGGAGAACTCTTTAAGAAGGTGATCCGGAATTGATCCTTGATCAAGACCTTGTGCAACCTAATGAGCCTAATAGTTCAAAGGGTCCAAACACACGTTCAAGGGTCCAAAAGAATCAAGTTCCTATTGTCCATGGGCTGTTCATTCAAGGGTCCAAGCATGACAATGTTCCACGCATAGGTTTCCACATAGCTCCATCTTTGATCAAGTCATGCGTGGCTTGGATGGATGAGTAAGCAAGGTAGTTATTTTTGCCTTGGATTCTTGTTCGTATGAGCTTAACATAGAGTGGGAATGTTCTCTTATTCCAAGTCAGTCCACAAGCAAGAGTTGAAGGCACAAGACAAGGCATTGAAGCTAGGGAGTTACACTCATATTATGGGGGTTCTTAATGGGAGAGTTACTCTCTTGTTGGGCGCCATTCATGGAGTATAACCTCCTTAGTTTAATTGCTTTGTGTTACTACTTATTTGTATGTTTTATTTTCAGTTTATAGTAGTAATTAGCTTAGCTTGAATTGCAGTAATAAAAGTTGTAACTGAACAGCCGTTGAAAATAGGGAGAGCTGGGCGTATTTGCAGCGGGTTCCTTAAGGAACTTCTTAAAGGAACTTCTTTGAGGAACATCAGCAGTTATTATTCTTCATTATGTGACGGTTTTCATGGGAAACGTTACACCTAAGGGCTGAATATGGCTGGCGACTTTTGAGTTCCTTTTGGTTGGCGACTTTTGAGTTCCCTTTTATTAAATTAGCTAAGTAAAATAATTTAATGTAACTACTTCCTTAGTCTATAAAAGGAGGTCTAGTTTAGCTTTTGTAATCAGACTATTATGAATGACATATTTACCTTTGAAATATACTTTGTGTTATTTCTTGTTTTAACTTGTGGATTCAAGTTACTTGAACTCGTGGACTCGAGTTTGTGAGCTTAACTCGGAGTGTTCGGAGTTAGCTTGTCTTATGGTTAGTAGAGTGAGTGTTCAACTCTAACCATACCTATCCTTGATTAGTATTGTGAGTGTTCCTTGCTAATCAAACCTGAGTTCCTCACTCTCAGGAACTAGTTCCTGTTCCTTACCCTATTCCCACGCCAAACACTTAGCCAAAACACTTAACCCATAACCCGAAACACACAACCTAACCTTAGATTCCGCATCAGAAGGGTTACCTCCAGCCGCTGCTGAAATGTGTTACCCCGGAAAGGGGGAAAGAAATTCTAGAGGATCTACACTCGGGCTTTTGTGCATCACATATAGGCGGAAGAACTCTAGCAAAAAGGGCAGGCGGCAAGGCTACTTTTGGCCCACTCTCGAGGCAGATGCCATGGAAATGGTGAAGAAGTGTGATAAATGTCAAAAATTCGGCAAACTCATACCCCGTTCGGCTACTGACTTAATGACTATCTACAGCCCAGTGCCATTTGCCAAATGGGGCATGAACATTCTAGGTCCATATACGCCTGCTACAGGCGGACGGAGATACATTCTCGATGCCGTTGATTACTTCACCAAATGGGTAGAGGCAGAGGTAGTCAAGGGCATAAAGACAAAGGATGTCATCTCCTTCATTTGGAGGAACATTATCACCCGGTTTGCGGTGCCTATGTCTATGGTCTTTGACAATAACCCTTAGTTTGAGACGCCTACCCTTAAGAGCTGGTTAGGAGATCAAAAATCGCACATTGTTTTGCATCAGTCGGTCGTCCCCAAGCAAACGGCGAATTTGAAGCCTTCAACAAGCTCATCTCAGACGGCATTAAAAAGAAAATTAAAAGGGATGGCGGTCTATGGGTAGATGAGTTGCCTCATGTCCTATGGGCCATTAGAACAACTGAAAAAGGGGCAACCGGTGAAACCCTATTTCTCATGACATATGATACTGAAGCCGTCCTACCTATTGAACATTACGAGCCAACACTTCGAATCATGCTCTATGATGAAGAGGCTAATTGGGAGGCCATGGGTCTAGCATTGGTTCACTCCTAGAGCGTAGGGGAAATGCCGCCTTATGTCATGAGATTTATTGTCTGAGAATGATGAGAGCCTACAACAGAAGAGTGCACAAACGACCCTTAAAAGTGGGAGACTTTGTGTTATGGAAAATGGAGGCAACCGGTAGGGCCAATGAGCAAGGAAGCTGACCCCTAATTGGGAAGGCCCCTACCGGATTTTTGATGAAGTTAGAGGCGGCACCTACCGCCTGGAAACTCCAAACGGCAGGCAGCTAGCCAGAACTTGGAATGTAGACAACTTGAAAAAGTACTACTTCTAAGGGCTTATAAATAGAGTATGTTAATGAAAAGATGCTTTATTTATGGTTTCTTGTACAAAGTCCCGTCTGTACAATGCACAACTAGGCAGACGTCTGCTCTAACTTGAGTAGATATAAGCTAAGTCCCAACTTAGCAGCTGTTTACGAGGCCAATGACCGGATAGCCTTCAAACCGCCTGCTCCCATTTGGGTGAATTCGTCGAAGAGAGTATCTCCCATTTGGGTGGTACATTGTTCTATAAATCATAACTCAAGAGGCTTTAACCATCCGTCTAGGTTAAAGATAACTCATGGCTATTTGAATAATCAATTGATACCTAGATACAAACGGTCGTTGCTTCAAAGCAACGCAAACACTAACCAATATCTTGGTCAGATATAACCGGTCTTTTCCCAAAGGCACTACAGCCGGTTACAAATCAAAATTAATCAAGGCCAAAACCTTATTAGCTAAAACATAACATGTCTATGACACCTACATCCGGCCAATGTCCGCTTGCTATTATGCAACTGGAAAAGACTGATTACACTAAAAGCTAAATAACAGCAAGTTAATAGAGTAATCTAGGTTGGTCCCTAGCCAAAACCGTCTGCTAATCTAACTTAGAAAATAATTTAAGAAATTTCTCCAAAAACGGCCAATGACCATCTGCTAATCCAACTTAGAAAATAATTTGAGAAATTTCTCTAAAGACGGCCAATGACCGTCTATCTATTCATCCGGATGCTTGATTGGACGACTACTTGCTTAGGGTTGGGCAAATACCAAGCAAACAATCACCCAAGGGAAGATAAAGCCAATGCACCCAGTAAACAGCATATGTTAGGTTACTTATATTCGTGCATACCAGAAAATTGAGAATTGAGAAAATTGCGAAAATTGAAGCAAAATATATCAAAGGCAAATTTGGGCAAAACCGACTCAGTCGGCACATTCTATTAAAAAATAATAATTGTCAGCCGAAACTAAATCTGGGGAGGAAAGAGAATACATATGAAATACTCAGCACGCAGGCCGAAAATGAAAAGCAAGTTTCACTGCTACTGGGGGGGTTGAGACGTCTGGCCCTGGCCAGATGGAGGAGCATCCTGAGTTTGCTGGGCCTGATTAGCATCACCCGGCGCTCGTTATTCCGCCTGCTCCTCCTCTTGATCTTCAATGCTCGCCCATTCCTCGAAGGGAGCCGGCTTCTCAAGGCCAAGAGCCTAAGCATCGTACACCTCGGTGGCGTACTTGTACCTTGACTTAAAGAACTCCCATTCACAATCCGGGTGGATGAGGGACTAGGCCATCTTCATACGAGCCTCACAGTCCTGCTCGTTTTCAGCGACCAGCCGGTTCTGCTCGGCCGCCAGCTCAGCCTTGTGATCAGCCTACGTCTGGGCCAACTCGTTCTTCAGCTGGGAGACGTCTGCCCTTAGTTGGGTGTTCTCCTTGTCGGCATCCCCCAGCGCTTTGACATCGGCCTGGAGGTTTTTCACTTGCAGCTCAAAGTCAGCCGCCTTCTTGTTGGTCGTGTCCGCAGCCGCAGTGAGCTTCTTAATAAGCTCCTCCCGTTTCATCTCCCGGCTTTTAGTTTTTATTTCATACATTAAGGTGTTGTATTGAGTAACTTCAATGAGATCAGCTGCCCGTCTATAGGCGTCTCTTACCTCCTCCTGTTTCTTCCTCAAGGGAACCTTGAGGCTGTCTACCCTCAGCATCACCTGCAACATCAACCGGAAAAGGGTTAGTCTCTCAATTATGGTACATCCGGCAAAAAGAGAATTATACAAAAGTACCCCAACCGGCAAGTTACCTCAGCAAGTAACGAGTTGATGCGGTCAATGTTGACTTGGTGCACACCCGACACCGCCTCCTTCTCGGACCGGGTGAGGGTCCTCAGCATCCTCTTTGCGTATTGTTAGAGGTCAGGCCAACGGGAAGAGGCATCTGCACCAACAGAGTCATGTGTTAAGTAACGAGCATAGGCGGCACCTATATTCTGCCGGCTGTCGGAGGAATCCCCTGATTGGGTAGCTTGGGACTTGACTCGCATAGGCCCAAGCAGCTAGGGGGATCAAAGGTGAAAGACATACCTTGATTTTCTGAGGGGTCACCCCACCCCCAGCCGCATTGGAGCCGGTTGCAACAGCTGGCTGCCGGCTCGAGGGCGTTTCAAGCTCCCTTATCTCAACCTCAGGCGGCCCTGTGTTTAGACCGAGGTCCTTCATGCTCTTGCCTGCTGAGGTAGGCCTGTCAGATACAGGCGGCCTTCCAGAAGAGGGAGGGGTAGTCGGAACCCTCCTTGTCCTTGAAGGAGGCTGAGAGGGCTCCTCAACCGGTCTTTTTAGCATTTTTGCAATGGAGCGAGGAATGTTCTTGATCCCCGCTTGAAAAAGAAACAGAGCAACCGATTAATATCAAAATTGACATCAAACTACACAGACGGTAAAAAGCACTCAGCCGGAGCTTACCTCATCGTCCTTGGCCGCCATTTGGGCCCTTCTCTTTTCTAATTGGTCCTTTCGGATCTGAGAAGCAGACTTAGTCGGTGTCTTCTCAGGCGGCACCATTTCTAGTCCTTTTTCAGCAAAAAGAAAATCAATGTCAAATACAACTCAAAATACTATAGACGGCATAAAAGAGCCGGTTAACTTCACTACATACGTCTGTTGAAAAAGGTGTTAAGGCCGCAGGCGGAGAGGAAAGCCTCATCCTTAAGCCAGTCCGGGTGGGGTACCCAATTCTTCGTTACTATAATCTCGGACCCGTCATCTAGGGGCATGGTTGTTTTCTCAAACAACCCCGCCTCTATTATTTGTGTTTACGCCTCCTCTGGGACGCGGGGAAGGGCACACTTCTTCCCTAGAAGAGCCGGATCCCTATTATAGTGTTGGAGTTGGTGGTTCAGGCGGCGGGAGGGAGAGGAGACTAAGTAAAATTTTCTCTTCCAACTGCTCCATTTAGACGGCTTGTCAAGCGTCATCATGTATTTCGGGTGAGTGGTCAAAGTATACCACGCCCGCCAGCCGCCTGGGGCACGACTAAGGTAGTGCATATGTGCAAACGCCTCCCAGCTAGGCGTCACGTTCTGCATCTCGCAGGCGGCAATATACCCTAAAATTTTCACCCATGAATTGGGTGTTAATTGCCAGACGCCCAAATCATAGCCCCTTAAAATAGCTCTTATGGTGTTGTGAAGAGGGAACCGGAGGCCGGCTTTAAACGCCGCCTCATAACAGCCGAAATAGTTGTCGGCATGATCAATGTCGTCCTCCTAGACGACGGTTGCCTCTACAGGCGGCACTAATACTTCCCACCTATCCCCAACCGGGCACTTCTTAATAAAGGCGGGGAAGGTGGCATTCAGAGTAGCGATGTCCCTGGCGGACATGCTTGCTTCAGTAGGGTTGTTAATGGAGGGCCATTTGTACGACTCAGCTGTATCAGGAGACTGGCTGACAACTGTCCTAGGCCGTGCCGTGTGTGTGTTGGGTGAGTCCATTATTCTTTACACAACATACAACCGAAAAAGCTCAAAGAGAGTTGCAAGGGGTAGAGACGGTACCTTGAAGAAGCTTTAGAAGTGTAGACGGTTGACTAGCTGAATCAGTAGCCGAAAATCAGATTGTTGCTTGCTAGATACCCAGACGGTTCTCCGGATGTACCCCCTTTGAAAGCAATAAAAAATTGTTGAAGAACCTAGGCGTTTTCCTGAAGCTTTGCTTGAAGATACCCCAGACGGTTGACCGGCTGTGGGTTGCTTGAATACAAGGGAATCAGCTGAAGTCTACTCAGACGGTTCTAAGGAGCTTTGAGTAATGATAGTGCAGACGGTAACCGGTTGGCTCAAGAAGAAGCAGGCGGTTATGAAAATAATAGCAGCCAATCTCAGAGCTCTCTTTTCTCTCTCTCAGAAACTTTCTCAAGAATGACAAAGTGAGGAAAATGATGTGGGGGGGGGGACTTCTACTTATAGAAGGAAATCCCCCAGAAGGCAAACCGTCACCTTAAAAAAAAACAGAGAGAGAGAGAAGGAGGCAAATCGTCGCCTTCTCAGATTATGACAACAACTATTTAGGGTAAAAATACCCCTGTCCACGTGGACCAATCGCATGCTGACACGTGTCAGCCTCAGAGAGGTTTTGAAAGAACCAATCCTTTGACGACACGTGGCAGTCCATGTAATGAAAGGGGAGTTGATCCTCAAACCCTATAAATAGGGAGAGATCCCCATTTATTGCATATATTTTTTCAGAGAAATTCTCACAAAACAGAGCAATATTAATTGTAGATACTCTCTCTCGGAATCTGAGAGAAACTCTTTACATTCCGCACTTTAACTCCGTCCGTACACATACTAACTTGATCGTCGGAGGCGGAACTCCACCCAACCGGAGTTGTCGTGGTTTTGCAGGTACAGACAGTCGGCATCCATTCTTGGAATTGTAACTCTCCGGAGGGACTCCAAAAACCCTGAAACAATAGCCATCACAGCCGTCGCATCTCAACTACAACGCCAATTTACATAAGCAACCACACAAATTTTGTCCACCATAGCACACAAAAACAGAGTAAGGCACAAAATCAAGGTGGAAAAATGTCGAGGTTGGATGGGTGGGTCGTTTCGGGGTCGGGGTGGGTTGGATGGTTGGTAAAGGGCCGACCGACCATTTTTGGTGGTTAAGGGAAGGTGGCCGACCGACCATTTTCGGTGGTTAAGGGAAGGTGGCCGACCGAAATCCAGCGAGGTTATGGGGTGTGGTTAGGGTTTTCGGTGAGGTTAGGGGGTGGGGAGAGGTGGCTGGCAATTTTTTTATTTATTTTGTGGGTTTTTTTTTTAAGAAAAAAAAATTTAGACCAATCACGTGTTGACTCGTGCAGCGGCGGAGGAGGCTTATGTCTTAGTGGGGCACGTGCCCTGCCAAGTTTTTTTTTTTTTTAAAAAATTGACGTTAAATTTTTTTTTTAAAAGACGCTGATATTCATAAACTTATTACCGCTGCTATAGTAGTGCCTTGCCATGACAGTTTGTCAAGTCCATTTATGTCCCCCAATTTCCCAAATATTATTACTTTTTATTTCAAAAATTAGTAATAAAAAAAAAAAGTTTAGGGAAACTAAAAGTCAGAAAACAAGTTTTCCCAAATATTCCTCTTTCCTCACCGTGCTCTCTTCTAAACTGCTACTCTACACTCTGCCTCTCCAGTCTCCATGACCACGACGGCCTCCTCGCCTTGACTGCTCGCCAGCGTCGGATTCCAGCAGTCCGCCACTCCACAAGACCACCACCGTCTTTAACTCATCTCTAGCGGCGATTTGAGGTATTAAAAATTATTGGGTTTTAATTTTTCAATTTTATTCTATGATTTAGGGTTTAATTTTATACAAATTTGTCTCCAATTAAATCATTTCTTTGAATTATGGGTGTTAATTTTCAATTAATTGCATAAATTTAACGGAGGGCTATTAAGAATGTAGGTTTTGTAAATTGTAAGTTCACTAAGTGTCTAAGTTGCTAAACTTGTTAATTTGTGTGAATTGTGATTTTGTTGCTTTGTTGTTTTTCTTAAGTTCTTATGTTATTTGCTGCAATAAATTAAGGCTAATAGGCTATAAATTGTGTTTTATAATGAAATACACTTTGATTTACATAATTACATTGACTTGAGCTAAGTGCCTAATTGCGTTGCCTAATTTCTACTGTGTACAGTGTACTAGACTTAGTAGATTTATTTTTAAGTTAAGTATATATGTTTAAACCTTATAAAGTAAAATTGTTGGTTTATCTGACAATTTTGGTTTAAAATTATCTAATTATACTTATAACATAATTTGATTAATTTTTAAGCATTATTAGGTTGTAATTTGAATAATTATTATTTCTTAAATGATTTATTTTATGGGTCTTTTTTTTATTTATTTATTTTTTTAATTAGAGTGATTATATTGGAAATTTTGTTGTCGATTAGTTTGTATTCGATAGTGCCCTACCATCCTTGAATTCCTTGCTCCGCCACTGGACATGTGTCATGATACCTGTTGACTTGATGTTGATCGATTGGGACATATTGGAGGCAAACGCATATCATAGTTGAGATTATTAAAAAATAAACCTTTGTTGGGATTATTAGAAGTAAATCGCCCATAGTTGGGATTATGAAACTGTATTAATCCTTTTTATAACATGGTGTTTGTTTGCAATCGGTGGTTCGTACACCCAAGTGCACCCAGATTGAAGTGGAAAAACACATAACTTATATTTCCTCTATTTTCTTATAGTTGCAACACTTCTCTTTTCATGCTAGTCGATGTATGATTTCAATCGTTAATATCTTCAATTACCAATATGTAAAAATAATAAATTTTTGATATTAATAAAATAGTATAAATCAACGAATTTAATAAGATCGCACATGACTATATTTTTGCATAGCTATAAATCATCAAAGCTAGTCAAAGTGGAACACATGAATAGTGTATAAGTCAAACTGTTGCAATTATAAAAAACGAAGGAAGTAGTTGTAAGGAACATAATGAATGTATAAAAGAACACAACATTGAAATATAAAGAACACAGTGATTTCTGAGAAACAGTTTATCAAAAATACAAAAGATAATTGCTAGTTGAATTTTACCACACATTTAATGTCAATTCATATCAAAATATTTAGTTTTCTAGAATTTCTCTATCTTAAATTATTTTTACCTGTTTCGGGGTTTTTTGTGCCCCTCGGGAGAGTTACAACACCAAGACTGGATTTCGGGCGCCTGTATCTGCAAAACAATGGAGACTCCGATTGGGTGGAGTTTCGCCACCGACGATCAAGTTAGAACGTGTTCGGAAGATGTAAAAAAGTGCGGAAAGTAAAGGGGTATCTTCTCGGATTTCGAGATCGGGAATATTCTCTGAGGTGAGAATTAATTATCTGCAATCATTGACTGCTCTGGTTTTTTCGTGTTGAATGAATGCGTGTTCCCTAGGTAGGAGCATCTCCCTTTTATAGGGTCTTGAGTTCGTGCCACTATCCTAGGTTATAGAAACCTAGGAATGACGGGTTGTCACGGGAATTGGGCCTTGAAGGCCGGCCCTTATTGGACCTGTCATGAGGTGACACGTGTCCCACTCTGATTGGGCCACGTGTCATGGGTATTTTAACCCAAATTATTTGCCCCTCACGGACGGGTGAACAGTCTTTAACTATTCACTTACTGGGGAATTTATAGGGATGCCCCTAGTTCCAACCCCTCTATGAGTAAGGTTCCCTCCCCCTCTCATTTTTGAACTTTGTCTGAAAAAATCTTAGAGAAAGAAAAAGAAGACTTTAGAGAGAAACTTCGATTCCGTCTGCATTTTACTACACAAAATTTCCTGCTATTTTCGCTTGACACAGCCGGTATACCGTCTGTGTAGGGTGTAGGATATCTTCCAGACAGCTGCCACTTCTTTTTCAATTAGATACAGCCGGCCTACCGTCTTTGCATCTCACAAACGGGAGAACATCTAAACCGCCTGGGTACCTTCCAAATAATTCCCTTGCTTTCCAAGTGGTTACAGCCGGTCATTCGTCTATGCACCTATCAAACAGAACTTTCGAGAACCGTCTGAGTACTTTTCCCAACAATTCTCTTTTCTTCCAAGTGGGTACATCTGGTCAGCACTTGAGTCTTTCAAAAGCATCTTAGAGGTACCGTCTCTCCCCTTCGCAACTCTTTCAAGCTTTTTACCGTTTGTATATATTGCATTGAATAATGGATTCACCCACCACACACACGACACAGTCTAGGACAGTAGTCAGTCGGTCTATTGGTACGGTTGAGTCTAGGACTAGGGGTGCCACCTGGGGGTGTTTGGACCACCCTTGCTCTTCCTCGAATTCGACCGTCTCTGTGCATGTGCAGGGCAGACGAAGCAGACGACAATTGACCCCGATTATAGATCAGACGGCTCGACTGAGGCGCCAGCTGAAATATGACTATCCTCCAAGTGCACCCAGCACTCCGAGTGACGATATTTTGGAGGACTCTGATCAAGGAGATGGCGCTGAGGCCGTCCAACGATCAGACTCAGAGGAGTCGACCTCACTAAAGGCGAATGCCGTCAGTGAGGAGGAGGAGGTGTATAAGTGGCCGTCTATAACCAACCTCACTGAGGCGCATATGTCCGCCAGTGATATAGTCACCCTAAACGCAAGCTTCCCCGCCTTTGTAGAGAAATGCCCAGTGGGGGATAGATGGGAAATAATTGTGCCGCCTGTAGAAGCGACCGTCGTCTGGGATGACGATATTGAACATGCTGACAATTACTTCGGCTGTTATGAGGTGGCATTCAAAACCAGCCTCTGGTTCCCCCTACATGACGCAGTCAAAGCAATCTTAAGGAGCTATGATCTTGGCGTATGGCAACTCACCCCTAATTCCTGGGTGAATATCATTAGCTATATCGTCGCCTCCGAGATGTAGGAAATAACGCCTAGCTTGGAGGCGTTTGCACATATGCACTACTTAAGTCGTGCCCCAAGCGGCTGGAAGGCGTGGTACACTTTAACCACGTATCCGGAGTACATGATGACACTAGATAAACCATCTAAGTGGAGAAATTAGAAAAACAATATCTACTTGGTTTCCTCTCCATCCAGACGTCTAAACCGTCTGCTCCGCCATTATAATAAGGAGCCGGCTTTCCTGGGGAAAAAGTGTGCCCTTCCGCGTGTCCTTGAGGAGGCTTGGGCACAAATAATAGAGCCAGAGTTTTTCAAGAGGATCACTATGCCTCTGGATGATGGCACTGAAATAATTGTACCCAAGAACTGGGTACCCCATCCGGACTGGCTTAAGGATCAGGCTTTCTTCTCCAACTGTGGTCTCAGTACCTTTTTTGATAGACGTACATTGACCACTTAACTGGCACTTTAGTGCCGCCTCTATGGTTCTGTGATTTGTTTTGTATTTAATCAACCGGTTTTCCTTTTGCAGAAAAAGGTCTAGAAATGGTTGACTCTGCAAAGACGCCTGCCAGGTCAACAGCCCAGATCCGAAAGGATCAACTTGAAAAGATAAGGGCCCAACTGGCGTCCAAGGATGATGGGGTAAGCTCCGGTTGTGTTCTTTAACTTGTAAACATTCATTGTCATTAGACGTCTTTTAACCGGCTGTGACCCTTGTGTTTGACTTTCAGGGTGGAAGTAAGAACGTTCCACGTTCCATCTCCAAGATGCTCAAACGGAAGGTGGATGAACCTTCCAAAGCTCCTTCCAATTCAAGGAAAGCGCCGCCTGTCCAGACGACATCATTAAGGCCGCCTGTACAGGGCAGACCAACTTTTGCAGGCAAAAGCCTGAAGGATCTTGGTTTAAGTACTGAGCCGGCTGACAAAGAGTCGGGCGTCATTGAGACGCCGAAGGGTGGCATGCCACTCGATGCTGCATCCGGTTCTGCAGCGGCTGGGGGTAGGGTGACCCCTCAGTCGGAATCTCAAGGTATGACTTACAGCTTTGATCCCCCATGGCCGCTTGGGCCTATGCGAGTCAAATCTCAGGTTACCCGATCAGGGGATTCCTTTAGCAGCCAGCACAATATAGGTGCCGCCTATGCTGCTATCTCAACACATCATTCTATTGATGCAGATGTCTCTCCAAGGTGGCCTGGCCTCCAGCAATATTTTAGGCGGATGCTGAGGTGCCTCACCCGATCTGAAAAGGACTCGATCCTGGGGGTGCATCAGGTCAACATGGACCGCATCAACGCCTTGCTTGCTGAGGTAACTTAAATTTTTGCCGGCTGAGGTAGCTGAGGTGAATTAACATTCTGCCGGCTGAGTTTTGCGGGTAATACAAAGAGTAAAAGGGCTCAAAGCCCCTTTTAAAAAGAAGTAAGAGAAGGTAAGAGACGCCAATAAACGGGCGGCTGATGCCCTTGATGTTGCTTAATACAAATGTACTATGAATGTTATTAAGTCTAAGCCCAAGAGATGAAACAAGAGGAGCTGGTTAAGGAGCTCAAGCCTACTGTGGAGACGGCCAATAATAAAGTGTCTGACCTTGAGCTTAAGCTTAAGAATGCTCAGTCAGATCTCAAGGCGTTGGAGGCGGCTGACCAAGAGAATACCCAGCTTAAGGCAGACGGCTCCTGGCGAAGGATGAGATGGTCCAGATTCAGACTGACCATAAGGCTGAGCTGGCGACTGAGCAAGAGCGGCTAGTGGATGAGAATGAACAAGATTGCGGCTCGCATGAAAATAGCATGGAATCTCATCCATTCGGACTATGACTGGGAGTTTTTCAACCTAAGGTACAAGTATGCCATTGAGGTATACGATGCCCAGTCCCTCGGTCCTGAAGAGACGGCTCCGTTTCATGAATAGGCCAGTATTGAGCCGTCTGATGAGGAGCATGAGGATGAGGAGCTCAATGAGCAACAAGAGCAAGTGGCGGTTGACATTGACCAAGCTCAACCAAGGCAACCTGAAGTTGAGCTCCCATCCGGCGAGGACTAGTCGGTGCCTCCACCCCATCAACAACAAAATTAAGGTTTCTGTCTTTGTTTCCGGCCTACGTGTTGAGTATTTGAATGTAACTCCAACCAACAATCTTTTTATTTTTTCGAATATGGAACCGGTATGATAGTCTTCTTCTCTCGGTCTTTTTATACTGGGAGCTTTTAATGAAATAGCCGACTGGGTGGGTTTTTAACAAAAAAATTTATTTTTGCTATATGTATATGCTTGCAATTTTAGCAGACTTGTTAGTAGCACACGACACTTAACGAACCGACTGCCTTTTGCCCCTAGACGGCTATGTGGTTGGTTTTAAGGTAGATTGATTAACTGGGGGAGCCTAGATACTTTAGAGAGTATGAAGGGTTCCTTGGTCAATCAATCACTACCGTGATTGCCCCAAACCAAGTACACAACTATTCATCATACAGGTGGATTTTGATTAAACACCCAGACGTTTCTCTTTTTTCGTTTGGGACTTTTGCCCCATTGGGAGGACTTTCTGAGTTTCGGAATTAGTGTGGGGTAATAATCTAAGTGGGAATGACGGTCAGTTACCGGCTGATGTCTATGAGACATGCGGGTTTTGTTTATGCCGTTTTAAGTTCCCTTATAGATTACTCAGGTCAAACGGCTATGAACTCACCCAGATGGGCTTTGCCGGATGCCTACTCATGCTAGAACAGATGGGTAATCATCGAATATTATCCGTCCATTGGCCTCACCACCAAGCCATTGGCCTCATCAGTTTGTTTTTAAACAAATCATGCTTAGCTGCTAAGTTTTTGGACTTAGCTTTTATTTA